TTGGACTCAAAATCCATTGTACTACTTGTTAACGAACCGTACACTTGTGGTGAATTTAATTCAACATATTTTCGTGTACAATAATATTATACAAAAATTCAAAAAAAAATCTTTATTTTTTAAACTATTCCTAAATGTATTGTGTGGAAAAAATGGAACTCAAGTAAGTTCTAAATCAAGGATTTTGCTGACCCCAGATGACATGCCCTGCAAGAAGAGGGCTATAATTTTTTTATTTCGCGTGGCCCCCTATGATGTGTGAACTCAGATGTACAAACAGCAAAATGTCTAAATTAATATCACACACAGAAGTCTCTGTTTGACACTCTCCAAAATAAAACAATTTATTTTTCATACTCATTTTCAACTATTCATTCACATAATAAAATATTTTACATATAAACTCTAAGTTTTTCTCCACTTTTAACCACACATTTTTCAAAAAATTACTATTCAAAATATTATTTTTACGTAATAATGGCCATCAAAGAAGAACCAAACCATGAATAGAGAGCTTCCTATATTCTCCAAGGGCCTTTAGTTTTATTTAAAAACGATTGATTCTTTTTATACCATCTTTGTTGTCCAACTTGAGAACTAACATCAAATAGTTTTATGACAACCTGAATGAAAATGTCGAAGGTGCCCTCGAGCAAGAGTTGACCTTACACGTTCAGTGCATGCACATTAAATTTGAATTTGAATGAACTAAATTGATATTCTATAATTCTTCCTTTGTCAAGGCTAAGATAGCATTATGATTCTTTCAAGAAGTATCTTCTTCATTTTACCAAGATGCAACTAAAACTTAGGCTATTAAAGCATTCATCAACAAGATTCTTCCATGTTATCTAAAAGGGTTCACTTTCATGTTTCAACTAAGAGTATGTTGTAGCATTTAAGGGAGAATTTACTTGGTTTGCATATTGAAGATTTCATATATCCTTCATGTGCTCCCCATGGTTGAAGTACTTTTCTACTATTATGATTGTGTCGTGTCGTGTCGTGTCGAAAATCTAATCATGACAGGTAAACCCGCCCTATTGAAACTTTACGCAAGACATAAGTCCACGCATGGCATCAATAATCATATATGGACTTGAAGAATTATTGTTACGCTTCGCAACTGAAGCTCCCACACGAAGCCTACGTGACATCTCACATGGATTGCAATGGACTTACAGAGGCCCTTTCATCGTAGTTAAGGAGACAAAGCCATGTGTCCCTCAACCAATGAACACCATTTCATATGTAACATTCCCCTCAATATCATTTGAGGTTAATGCAAATACATCTATTTTAAGTTACATGTCATCTTCTCTTGAGTTGAATATTTTGTTGATAAAGTTATATGTTTGATTTTGGCTTTTAGTTTGCATATTGCTGATTGTTTCTTTTCATGCGATTTCGCTCGTATATATTTCCAATGCCTGAACATTTTTGTTTCGCATTATAAAACTTTTCATACGTTCAAACTCGAAATATTGTCGACTAGTAATCTGTCCAAACGTGGTGGAATTAGCTTGCGTAGATACAAGTGGACCCGGTATTCGTTGTCCATGTCAATGATACAAAAAACAAGGTCACAATAATAACCTAAAATACTTTTTACTGCACCTATATCTCTATTTCACGTATTTCCATTCATGGTTCTTATGGAACTACAATGCACCAAATCTCTATTTTTCTACGATATTGTTTTTATAGTTTTAAGAGCACAAGCTGACATGGCCTAAAAGAAAGTCAAAAGACTTTTAGCTCATAGTTCAACTCAGAGGCAGAGGTCCTCCATCCCAACCCAACTTTTGAGTTTTATTTATATACTAGCTTTTGCCCATACGATGTATGGGTTTCGTTACGTTGTAAATATTGTTAGCATTTTAAATGAGTTGAGTTATCTTCCATTTAAGCATATGTTCCATATCAAACATTTTGTAGTCTACATTATGTTTGATTCTAAATAGTGTGTAAAATGAAATTATTAAGCAAATAGTCTGTAATGGAGGGACTATCTCTGATTTGTAAAAGTAGGAAAAAACTTAAATTATTAACTATAATGAGGAAAATTGCACTAATGTATAAAAGATCAGTTTAGTTAAAAAG